ACATATATAGAAGTGAATAAAATCAGGCTGGTAGCTGTGTCTAGAAATATTGATTTTCTAATATAAAATTTTTTATAAATTCATCAATGACAAAACCCAGTTCTTTTCTTACTTTTACGAACGTCTCATGAAGTGCCAATTTCTTCTCAGAAATAAATTTAAAAGAGGCAGTTCAGTGGCTATTCACTTTTGTGTACATAAGAGAACAACAGGGGGAAGCACATGAGTAAATAAAATAGGCCAGATCGCATTCAAAGAGAATAATATAATCCAATTGCTACCCTGGAGCGGCGCGGAAGGAGCGGCGCCGAGCACGGCGCGCCTCATCAGAGCGCTCCTTTGCGAAAGGCGCGCCTTGCTCCTGAGCTAGGTCGCGCCTTGGCGCCTGGCGCGCCGCAGTGCCCACATAGAGCGCTCCTTTGGCGCCAGGCGCGGCGCGTTTTTTTGGCAACCGCTCCTTGTATAAAAAGCGCTCCTCGCGCCTTCATACGACCGCTCCTCGCTCCAAAACGCGCTTTGGAGCGATTTGGAGCGCCAAAACGCGCCCGCTCCGAAACCCTGATATATGGTGTTGGAAAGAAAATTAGAGGAAAAATTATATCAGCGTCGCGTGCTGTCTCTTGCTCGGTTGCATAATCAGCTGGATTAGCTGCTGATGTCATTTGTTATTTTGTGCGCTTTTTTGTCGCAGAATCCACACCAACGATGATCACACCAAAACCAAAACTTTCACCTTTGCCGACTGAACAGACCGGTGATTTTTATTGATAGTTTGGCGAGTTGCAAAGTGCAAAAGTGACAGTATCATTAATTTCGATTGAAGAAATTTTTGGCAATCTAAGAATGTACTGGCTGAAATAAATGATTTGTTGTGGGAAAAAAAGTTTTTGTTTTTAGAATTTTCACTAGAATTAAAATTTAATTCGATATTTGTTAAACCATATCAATATTTTTTCTCTCAAGAAAGTGAGATATTTTTAAAATATGGGAATGAAGAGATCGGTCAGTTTCTCGTTGTAAAATTTTTTACTCAAATAGCTCTACCAGTCACGGTCTGCGACCCAATTTCATGAGCAAGAAAAATAAAAAAGTCATCAAAATTGAAAAACATCAGATATTAACATAAAAATGTCTTAAAAACAACTGAAAGCGTGGTAATTAAGATTTTTTTTTAATTTTTTTTTCCTCCAATTCTGTTTCGTTTTCTCTTTGACTCCTCCTCAATTATATTTATGACTAGAAATATTTGTTTCATAGCTTAATTCTGGAAATAATTTTACTCCAGATGCTACAAAAAAATTAACAGCCATTTTATTTAGGTATTACAAATTCCACTGATAATCTTGGAGTATGTTTTGGTAATTGCACTAAATTATATTTAAAATCCAGCCTCCATCACTTCAATTATCGACACTCTATCATTACCAAAAATCCATCTTGACCCTTTTTTCAATTTAAACACTAATTCCTATCATTTTTTTTTCGTACCAAAAATACTTTCGAATAAATTTTAGAGAGTTCCGCAGCGGCTATTAGCTTAATTAGGGCTTTTTGTTGCAGCGTAATAATTATTATGCATTAATAATGAGCTCTGCATTAAAACCCGAGAGCTGCAAAACGCGAGCGAGCGAGCAAGTGTGCGTCGTGCGAGGGCGGCCGACCCGCTCAGCACGTAACGCGAAGGAAAAGTGGAATTATTTCCCAAACACGCGTAGGCCGCGGTCTCGGCAATCTTGGGCAAGGTGTAAGGGGGCGGCGGCCACTCCCACGGCCGCAACATGCGTCGACCATATGGTCGTATGCTAATGACCTGCGGACCAAATTCTCCACAATTGCCACACACGACTGAGCTTTCGATCGTCTGCGTCGTCTGAATGTGATGAAAAGTCGTATTTTCCGCCGAGCGGCGACAGTTAAAAATCCGTTCCGCAGCGCGATCCCCGGAGATTATACGAGAAAAGGTCTCAATGGAGCAGAGCGAGAAGAACAAATGATACATTTTTACTGCCTGCAAACGAGCGTGTGGAATTTAATTAACACTGCAGCGGGCCTGGAAATTTGCATTCAAATAGGAGAAAAGGAATAAAAGATTGAGTTGACAAATGCTGGGAGCCGATTTGAAAATGACCTAAAATATTAAAAAAAAAAAAAAAAAAAAAAAAAAAAAAAAATGCAGGTTTGTTACTGAAAAAAAACTTCTTTGAAGAAATTGACACACGAGACTCGAGATGATCATGGAAATTAGAAGATCGGGCTTTTGAAATTTTTCAACTTGCATTTCAATTTTTTCAGTAAATTAATTTTAATAAATAAATAGCAGACTATCAAAAACAAATGTTTATGCTTAAATTTTACCTTACTAGTGTTTAACTGAAAAATCTTCATAAAAAAAATAATATTTAAAATTAGTAAAATAAAAAAGCGAGATGAGATGAAGTTTTCATCCCTACTTGAATTACAGTTTGAAATTGTGAATTTCCCACTTTTTACCAATTTAATTTGATTTTTTTTTTTCAAAACAATTTTACGATCTGCATTCTATACTCGAAAACTCCATTCTTTATACCATAAATATTTCAGCACCACTTTTGCGAATTGCCTTCTTTGCCCTGTTTCCATCTTGTCTGGGCGTGTGAATATACGAGCGATCATTATTGCCCGCGCATCTTGTTTCAATTCACTCTGCATGACACAATTCCGACCGCACATACGTAACGCAAATACTCGCCAGAGAACATGGTCTGTTTAAATAACCGCTCCGATACAATGAAAGACAGTCTCGGGTGAATGGGACAAATGGAAATCCATACTCTCTGGCGAATCATGCAAATGAGGAAAGCTCAGCCGACGAGTTTAAAATGGAAAATTCGCGCAAAGTGGGTCAATCTCACAATCGTAGAGTTTACATTTAACATAAGAGATTATTTAAAAGAGCGAAAAGAAAAATAAAGGCGGAGAGAAGTTGCTCAGCTGAATGCTAATTGTCTTCGAACAATAAGAAAGCCAGAAAGTTAAATCTAAACTTAAACTGCTAATTATTTTAATTTGTAAAGTTCAAATTGTCGATGTTACATAATTTGAGAACAATTTCATTTATATCTTTAAAAATGTTTAATTGTTACTTTTGTGGATGAATGAGTTATTTCATTTTCCCTTTTCTACATCAAATTAAGCCAAAGTTCGCTTTTTTAGTGATAAAATTGGCTCATTTTGAAAACCATGCCAAATCGAAGGTTATATTCTTTGTTTTGACAGCTCTCAATCAAGAGCAAAACACGCGGCCCTCCATCATCATCATTTCTTGATAAACAGCAATTTTTGCGCGAGGAATGCACAAGACAAACACCCGCCGCAAGTTTTGCACATCCATTTATCTATTGCATTAAGTAAGAAGCGGCGAGATAAGTTCAACATTCGGTGCATGCACCTTTGTTCCTCTGGAAAAGTCAAGGCGCCTCGTCGCTGCTATCAGAGCCGAAGCAAGAGCAAACAGTCACGTGACGATCACAAATAAAACCGAGCAAGGAAGGGTGCTGCGCGATTTAATGTATCGGCACGAACTGGCGATGTCGCCTTCTAATCGCACGCAAACGAGAAACAGCAGCGAAAGAGAGAAATGACTGTGGTACTTTGTCGGGGGAGAGCGGCTCTCATTAAAAATTCATTCTTGATCCGATATGTGGGGAGAATTCCTTTACCAAAATGGCTTGAAATTGGATTTTCTTCACTCATTTATTTCAATTTGTGCAAAATTTATTCCAAAGACAATAAATTATTCCGGAAATAATTCCACAATAATAATCCAGTTTTTTTTTTTTTGAGAAATTTTTAATAATTTCCTAGTTTATTTTTTAAATTTTTGTACATTTTATACGGGTGAGAATTTGCCAATCTGTTTTCAATTGCCTTCGATGTACCGTCTCGGATGTGACGGATCGGATAATAATCACGGCGGCTAGAAATTCTCATCCTCGCAAATTTGATCTGGCACGCAAACCAGCCAATCGATTACACGCCGCGGGCACGAAAATCGCGGCACCCCGCCAGACGGATCGGCCCAATTAAACTCAGCTGATCGTCGGAAAATCTATCTTTTCTTCTTCGCGCAGGGCGGAATCGCTTTTTGCTGATGAGAAAAAAGAAAGAAAGGGAGCGGGCCGTGCCCTTGTCCGGGGGGCGCAGGAGGCATTTATCTTTATTACTGCAGACGGTGTATTGCATTATCGTGATTCGCTCTCGCACGCCGAGATAATATGCGGGGCCAGCATCAGAGCCTTCCTTTTGTTGGGTGTTCAATTACCTTCACCTTGTGTGCGGATAATTTCGTTTGGGTGCCGCATTAAATTGCATAAATAAGGCCGAAAACTGACAGCTGGAAAAATACACTATAAATCTTGAAATTTAAATATTTAAAAAAAAATCCCTCCTAATTCTGCAAAGTTCAGTGTAAATAAAAATGAATAAAAATATTGATCGATTAAAAAAAAAGGATTTTTTAAAGAAAATTAAGCATCTTGAGCTACCAACATATATTTAAATTTTAATTGCTTTGAATTACATTATTAATTCATTTTTTTTATAATAACACTTAAATTTAATTTGCTTTGCTTTAAATAATTTATCAAAATGTATTTTTTTTTTAATTTTCAATAAAATACTTTGTATTTATACTTGGCTCTAGAACAGTTAAAATAATACACAAGTGGCCTCCATCCTAAAATAAATTGCGAAATTCGAACAATGACCAATAAAATAAACATCAAATGCTTACAAGATGGTAATCAAGTCAGATTCGCGCGAGCTCCGCTCATTTTTAGTGCACGTTGCGCCGCTTCAACGTGAATAGAATGCCAATTTTGGCGGTGTTTTGTCATCCAGGGGGAATTATTAATAAATCCAGCGGTGGGTGGGTGTGTTCCTCGCTCTCACAATCAGTCCGCCTTTGCCTTTTAACAAGCACAATGTGTCTGAAAAACAACCTGTCGTCTTTTTGTTCGCAGGCAAAACAGAGGGCTTCCGTCAAGTGGCTGCTGTCCAAGGCTTTCAATGGTCGGGTGCCGGACAATTTACGAGAGCCGTTCTACAGAGACCACGAGGTAATTCCAAGCCACACACCAACATTACCAACCCTATACTAATCGTGAATCTCGCTTTGACAGGGTCAGTTCCACCTCAAACCCCACATCACTCACACGCTGGCCAACGCGGAGCTTTACTGTCTCGCCCTCAGCAACATCTACGCCGATCCGAATTTCCACAATTTGAATCACAGCGGCATTGTGAACGCCCTCATCAGAAAAGGAGTCACTCCCGAACCTCCCGGGCAAGACTGCCCCCTCACAGAGACCACCCTTTTTCAAACCAATCCCCTGAGACTGGTGAGAATTAAAAAAAAATCCTTATAAAATGTTAAAAATTTTAATTTAAATACATTTGATTAAATATTATTTATAATTTCTACTATTGAGGAATTGTGAAATTCACGTGATTGATTTTTAATCAAAATTGATCAAGAAATATCATAGTTTCAACATGATTTTTTCTTATAAATTTAGAATTTTACATTATTTTAATTGCTGTTAACAAGCGGATTGCTAATTTGTGCTGTTTGAATATGCAGAGTGCCCACTTGGCCATAATTGAGTCGATGATGGCCTTATACGCCAAGGAAGTAGCCACACCAGACGCAGTTTCGGCTGCGATCATAAGGTTGTCACACCTTCACCAAGAGGAGGCTGTCGAGTTGCCAAATCCAACCACCCCGCAGCAGAGTCTCCTGGCGTGGCTCAATTGCAGTTCCAAAGTCATGAACACAAGGCTGAAGCTGGACGGAGCAAACAATTATCAGGTTGAAAAATCAATTTTTATTTTTTTAAATTTTTTATTACAATATTGGTGAAAACTCCGCAGCTAATACCTGAGGTGCACAATATACAAGATCTATCCGACGGAGTGGCGCTGGCAGCCCTCGTGGCCCTTTACTGTCCGTCGGAGCTCCCCTGGGAGAACGTGCTGGTGCCTAATTCCCAGCAGGGGACCGCCTCTGTTGGCCAGTCAGTCCAGAATCTAAGTTTGGTGCAGCAATTTTGCCAGGAGGCGTTGCCGAGCGATTTGATGCACATGGCGCCAGAGGACGTCACCTATTTACGAAGGTATGGAATCTAGCTTTTTCAATTTTTTTTTCCTGTGCTTGTTAATTAACAAAAATGGCTAACATTAAATTAAGTGGTGATGGGTTTGACGACGACGACGAGTTCCTTGATGCGATGGACGCGTACGAGGCGCGGGCGTCCTACTCTCCACCTGCCGCTGGCGGCTCCTCCACAGCACTAGCAATGCTGTCCTGTGCTCATTCCTGTCGAAGGAGGCCACCCTCCGAACATCACAGGTAGAAAGCAAAGCACCTGCTGAGGGGATGCACGCACCGTTTTGTTAATTTAATTTTGGTTCTCTCACAGCATGCAAAATTGAGCGTTTTATATTTAATTTCAGCAAATTTTTTTATTTTCAGCCAAGGGGTGATTTTTATTTTATTTGCTTAAGAATTGTTTGGAAGTTTTTAGCTGCCGTAATTCAGTTTTTGTAAGCTTTGTTTTAACCAAACAAATAAATGTTTCAGCTCGATGAACATGAATCTTCTTGCATTCCTCGCAGACATGTTTAACGTGATGGAAATTCATCCAGCCAAATGTGTGTGCTTCCCTGGCTCTGGCAGCCTCTCTTTGAAAGACCGTAAGTGTTGATCTGAACAAAATTGCAGCATCTCTTAACATTTAACACAAATTTTAAAACCCCACTAATCTTCCAATTTAAACTAATGCTGCAATTTTATTTTTACTTTTTGGTCTTTTGTTGCATACTTATGATTTGTTGGCTGCTTATCCGGCTTTCTACTTCTCTATTATATCTTCAAGCCCTGCATTGTCTCACAGCAGAGTAAATAGCTAAATTTACACACTTATCGCAGTAAATAAATTGGCTCACCAATGCAAATCATCACAAATTAATCAAGCACTCTTTTGCCGACAAACTCGACCTGCTGTGAGGCTCGATCCTTTTACTCTCTCTGTCCCTGTGCAAACAACTAACAAATTTTCTCATCTCTGAAAATGAAGCTCCCGAAAGAATTGTTTGAAATGAGGCAGCAAATTTCTTTCTTGTAATCAAAATAATTGACACTGATTGAGCTTGGTGGTGATGGTGGTTGTAGCTCGCAACAATCAAGGTGTGGGTCACAGGCGAAGTCTCTATGGGTCTCAGGTCATCTCCCCCATTCCTGACCTGAGAAGCAACCTGTCTCTACCACACCCCACAGGTAAACATCTCCCTTGACCCCGTGCACCTGTATTTCTTCCTCTTGTTTGGTTTCACATTTTATTGACGACAAATAATTTGCACTCACATCACGCAGCCATTATTTATTTTTAGTGTGTAAGTGATTTGTTGCTTTTGCTGCTTCTTCTCTCTTCTGTTCTCACTGTATAATTATTTCTCTAACAAAGCACTAATCAAAGAGAATTAAAATGAGAAACGTGTAAATAAAAACAAAAAATAAGTTCAGTTTAAATTTCAAGTGATCAGAAAGTACTAACTAAAATTTCTCTTGTTGTGCCAGCTTCAGCTCTCTAAAAATCATGTTGCTTTTGATCATTAATGCCAACTTTTTAAAATTTCTCTCCCGCAGTGACCAAGTCAGCTTCAAGTTTGAGCAACCCAAGTTCTGGTTCTACTCCTGTGGTCCAAATGACAAGTTCATCCCTTCGACGTACTATGTCCTTGCACCACACCCCTGCACCAGATCAAAACTTAGGAGATGAAAGGTGAGATTGTTCTTCAAATTCAATCCTTAAGTCTGAACCCATTAATTTTTAGTAGGGAAATGTTCGTCGTTCACAAAAGCAGAGCCGTTCCAACTCTGTTGAGGAGTCGGGACGAGTCGGACGAGAGGCACCTTCCAGCAGCTGGCAAGCCCAGCAATTGGGAGCAGGTCAGCAGACGCTCAAGCACGCCTCAGCACACCCCGCAGCCAAATTCCACAGAACGGCCGGTTGAAAAGTCGTTGGCGGGCAGAAGGTCGAGACGCAACTCAATCAACGCAGAGGAATCTCAGCTGACTGTCGAGAACTTCGGCGGCTCGCAAGATAACCTGCAATTCATCGGACGGAATCCGGACAAGGATGTGGCCGTGCACGTGGGCCGAAGGTTAGACATGACCATTGAAAAACCAGCACCAATCAAAAACCTGCACAACATGACCTCCCTCGAGATGAATAGTTCGTTTTCAGTTCAGCATGCTAGTAATTCTACCCCTATCACCCCCACCATAAACAATGGCACTAGGTATTTTTGTTTTATATATTTTTGATTTAATTTTGTTGTGCCCCATTATACCTATCTTCAATTCCAACATGTAATTTTTTGCCATCAGAACATACAATGGTGATTCTGACTCTGAAAACGTCCGGCCAACCAACTTTGCCGAAACGTCACGACAAAACACACAAAATTCCCAGCAGGCTTTTGACACACCAACCAAGATTAGGTCTGCTGAGAAGAAAACTGCCACCTTTGCTGATTTGCCAAACACAACCACCTGGAGGCAGCAGCAACAACAACAGCACCAGCAGCTTCCCTTCAACGAGGCCATACCTACCCAAGGTTTGGAATTGAATTGAAGTTGAAATTGGTTTGAAACATTGAGATGAAATTTTCAGAAGAGGGACAAGTGATGGCCACTCAACTGCACAACATTCGGTTGAAGCTGGAGGAGAAGCGGCGCCACATTGAAAATGACAAAATGAAAACAGAAATGGCTCTCAGCAAGCAGAGGCAAAAAGTAGGAAAGGCTGCATTTTTACAGGCTGTAACAAAGGTGCTGAAGGTTTTACTAATACTCTTTAATGATCGGTAGACGAAAATGATTAAGAGCATAGTAAACGACCTTTGGCTAGCTTCGTTTAGCTAAAGTGTGCCGCTATGCCTTCATTATTTCATTGCGCAGCTTTCCGTGTATTTGTTTGCGTTCTGGTTAAGGAATTTTTGGCTTAATTCTCAGGGAAAAGCGGTGGAGGCAGGGAATGAATCCGTTCAGGTTAAAGATCAAGATAGGAAATCGCCTCAGCGGCAGCCGGCCACTAGACCAGTTTCTTTAAAGGTGTCTAGTTGCATCTCAATAAATGTGTCATTAGGCATCATAGGGCATGTTTTATGTTAATTTCAAAGGCGTGTAGACTGCTGCTTGTCATTATTTCCATGGTTTTATTTTATTTAATCCAAGTAACACCTCCGTCAGTTTCCTATTATTTACAAAACTACCTTGTTTTAATCATTTTCGTTACTTTTAATTTAATTTATTTGTGTATGTTGTTATGTCTAACTGGATTTTGTGTATTGTTTTGCATGGTTGTGGCTTTTGCATGATGCAGACTCAAAGACTGCTTGGATTCTCTGTAAGTGCCTGTTTGTTGTATTAATTTTAAATTGCTCACTTTCTGATTGGAAACATTTCCCTTAGGAAATCAACGATGATGTGATAGCTGTGGAAAGTCGATGGCTTTCCCAGGAAGGCATTCCACAACACAAAGTGCCACCAGAGGATCCTAGAACCCCAGATTTGGAACACATGGATATTGAATCTTATCACAATTCATTGGTCCAGTGAGTTTGAAAATCGGCTCTGTCAAAATGAATTCACTAAATTCGCATTTTCCAGGATGAATTCCAGTTTAAAAGACCTGCAGGCAGACATTCAGCGCCTAGCATCTAGGCAGCAACACATTCACCATGTTTTGGAGCAACGACCCCAGTCCATGTCTCCTCAACCTCCCCAGCAGCAGCAGCAGCAACAACAACAACAACAGATGCAGCAGCAGCAACAACCTCCCCATCAGTCAGAGTTCTACCTGCACTCTGGGCACCCGCAACCCCAATACATTCCTCCCCAACAACCCCAGCAACCCAATTACAACACTTACAACCCCTACAACCCTCACAACCAGTACCAGCAGCCCCAATACCAGCCCACCCCTCCTCCGAGGCGCACCTGGGCCTCTCCGAATCCGATGCCAATTCCGATGCAGCAGCAGCAGCAACCCCAGGGCCCACCCCCTGGACCTGCTGGAGACGGATACATCCCTCACAATGCGTGGGTTGACCCTGGGCGCCAGAACATCCCCAAGTACCCGCAACCCCAGCACTACTCTGCGCCTCAGCAGCACCACCCCCAAAATACTCCACCCGGTGGCGGAGGCTTCATGCTCCACCCTGCATCTTCAAACTCGTCGTCCAACCAGATGTCGTACTCGCTGCACAACGGCAGCAACACTGCTTCGCCACAGCACAGGAACACTTTGAACAGGCTGAACCAGATGATGGGCCAGCAACAAGCGCCCCACGTCACAACAGTGCCAATCCCAGGTCCCCCGGTCGACGACCCAATGGCGCCTCAGCCGATTGCCTTCATCGGAACGCCTGAGAACCGACTTACTTTCAACAAAGAAAGTGGAGGTAATTTTTTTGCCTCTCAATAAGAAAAAGAATTTATAATGAATTGTTTGCAATTTTAGATGTCATGGAGGACGTGAATGTGAACATCCAAAGGCTGAATATCACTTCAGGCTCAAGGACGTATCGGCTTCCCTCCCCCACAAGGCCCATTTCCAAAGGACGTCCTGCCTATCAAACTGCCAAGCCCGATGAGGAAGAGGAGGAAGGTGAAGACGTTGCACCTCCGCAGACTCTCAAAGACGGCGTGGACGCTGACAAGGGTTTCTACGTCAGTTTCGACGAGCCACCCAAGCGTCCAAAACCACCTCTCAGAACCAAGAAGGTTGCCAAAAAGGTAATTTTCATTCTTCCATCTTTTTCTAAAATCTATGTATATAGTTGGGTGAAATCGGGAAAGGATGAGGTGTAATTGGCAGTGAAAAGTTACCATTTTGATTTTCACATATGTTGTTGGGGTTGTTGAAAGGTAGCTTCTCCTAAATTTTCAGCTTAAAATATGGTGCGCTTTTCCGGGAAATCGGATTTTTCCAAAAACGGAAAATTTTGAATATCTTTGCTAAAAATGAGAATATATGAATGCTCTCTTCACTACCAGACGTAACTTTTCACGCCCGACAACTTTGCTGTTGATTATTTTTGTGTAGGTCAAAGGTCAAGGTCACTTATTAGCAAATTTCACTTTCAAACGCAATTTTCGCAAAGAAGCACACCTTGGATTTTTTTCGTGATATACAAAAAAATGTAGCCCTAAGTGTGTAGAACAAAATACTTGATTTTCAGATTGGTAACTTTTTCTGTTTAATTGATATTTTTAATTGAAAATAAAAAACAGTTAAAAATCACTTTTCCGCAAACGAAATTAATTTTCAAACAGCGATAATTTTTTTTCTGCTAGAGATACGCAAAAACATGTAAGTACAAAAAGTGTTTCTAATGACCTAACCTATCGAACCATGTATCGATCATGTAGGTCGAGTCACTTAAGGTCATTGACCTCAGTGACCTGTGACCTTGAAAAACGATATTGCAAAAAATTGGAAACGTTTCAAAACAGGTGCACTCTTTTTCATTATTAAACGAACTAATATTTTGCAAAATCATTTTTCAAGGTCACAGGTCACTGAGGTCAATGACCTTAAGTGACTCGACCTACATGATCGATACATGGTTCGATAGGTTAGGTCATTAGAAACACTTTTTGTACTTACATGTTTTTGCGTATCTCTAGCAGAAAAAAAATTATCGCTGTTTGAAAATTAATTTCGTTTGCGGAAAAGTGATTTTTAACTGTTTTTTATTTTCAATTAAAAATATCAATTAAACAGAAAAAGTTACCAATCTGAAAATCAAGTATTTTGTTCTACACACTTAGGGCTACATTTTTTTGTATATCACGAAAAAAATCCAAGGTGTGCTTCTTTGCGAAAATTGCGTTTGAAAGTGAAATTTGCTAATAAGTGACCTTGACCTTTGACCTACACAAAAATAATCAACAGCAAAGTTGTCGGGCGTGAAAAGTTACGTCTGGTAGTGAAGAGAGCATTCATATATTCTCATTTTTAGGAAAGATATTCAAAATTTTCTGTTTTTGGAAAAATCCGATTTCCCGGAAAAGCGCACCATATTTTAAGCTGAAAATTTAGGAGAAGCTACCTTTCAACAACCCCAACAACATATGTGAAAATCAAAATGGTAACTTTTCACTGCCAATTACACCTCATCCTTTCCCGATTTCACCCAGTTATTAAAATAAATTATTAAATTCAGCAGCAGGAACTGATGCAGCAGCAGATGCAGAACGATTACGAAATGGCAGCTGGCTCGTCAGGCTCGTCCTCGTTGGCGTCGCGACTCTCCCCTCAACCGGGCATTGGCAGGACCATGCCCAGACCCTCCCCCACTCCTCCTTCGACTCCCAGCGTCCAGCAGTATTCCATTGAAGCGACTGATGAAGAAATCAGTGTACAAATGACGCCTGTGGCCGTTGCTGGCGAAGGCATCAGCGGCTTAGGACTTGTGATAGGAGACATTGCTGCTCCAGATCCTGTGAGATCAAAATAATGAAAAACGATCACGGAAAATGACACAATTATTTCAGGGTGCTTTGGACGCCATGGAGAAGAAGAAGGAGAAAATTCTGTTGGCGTCGTTGAGGAGGAGGCAACAGCAGGAGGAGAACAAGGCCAGGAAAGAGCTGGCGGCGAGTCTTGCCAAGGAGAGGGAGCAGACGAGGGAAGAAAGACAGGCCATGAAGCGGGAGGAAGACAGGTTTAGAAGGGCACAAATTCTACAGCAGTATAAACTGAAGAAAACCATCGAAGAAGCCGAGAGAGAAGTAGTTTTTCTTATACATAAATAAATCTATAGAAATAATAAAAAAAAAATCCTTTTCAGGGCAAAGTGATAGATAAGGCTGAACTGCAGCGTCTTCAGGCAATGTGTTCGACTCCTTCGTCTCCCTCTTCTGCCACTTCGAACGCCAGTTCCGGCGGTCCTCGCATGAGGAACAAAACTCCAGGCACCACTCCAAGGCCCAGACCCAAAACCATTCACATCGAGAGAGGTCAAGACGGCAGCAACGGTGACGAACCCGACAACCGGCAATTCGGTTTCCGGAGACAAGGCTCAGCCACCAACCTGGCCGGTATGTTCAGTGTCCCCCTCAACCGCTGCTTTTTATCAATTCTTATCCTGAAATGAAATGAGACCAGTGTAAAATTAACTACTTTTTTAAACTACTTTCACTTTTTGTGCATGCACGCAGTTTAATTTATTTATTTTTGAATAACTCGGACACTTCATTTCTGTGGCATGCACCTGCTGCCACTGACCTCCTTACGATGGCATGCTTGTCGCACGCTTCCTTAGTTTTCTGTCTCTACTGTCCAGATTCTGCGAGTTACGGAGGACACAACACGATGCGTCGGGCTGCCGGATATCGCGGTTCGCAAGACAATCTCACCACCACACGAAGGAACTCTATGTACAACAGAGGTCAGTCACACACACAAATAATAATAATTCAATTATTTATACTAGAAAGAAACTTGGCTGCTGAGTCTGTAGAATTGAATTTTTTTTAAATAATTAGCAAATTCTTTTCTCTTGGCTCTGTCAACAGACTCGGCAGTGCTCACATAATATTTACACCAACACAAAATAACCAAACATGCATTTATGACACATGATTTCACCAGAAAAATTTGAGAAATTTTACAATGAAGCAATAGCTTGCCTCACTGAAGTGTTTCCATCATGATGCGTTCGTAGAATCAAGTATTCAGATTTCCCGTTTTCCTTTTGAGTCCGTTACTGTCTGTATTATTTTGTTACAATGTTAAATGTTTCTCATGTGCATGAATTTGCATCATTTTTGTTCAAATCTGTGTTTGCCAACTAAACTGAATGTGTTTTTGATTAATTGAAAAGTACCTTGGATGCTAGAATTAAACTCTCTGCGGTACTTTACGAATCGTGGTTGACGCTAAATGTGCACCATTTTGCGCTTTTGTTGCCAGAATCCTCCGATGACGGAAGAGGCACCTCAAGAGGCACCTCTCCGTCGCGCATCGGTCGTCGAGGGTCGTACCGAACCTCTCGAGGTGAGCCTCTCACGACTCAGTTTTTCTCTGTAGACGTAGTTATTAGTCGTGTGACCGAGTGAATGAAGAGCCTGTCTTTTTCTTTCCTTCCTCTCTCCAAACTCTGATTGGAAACACTGAAAATATTTTGCAAAATTTCTTAATTTCTCTTCCGTGTCGCGCGATTGTGTGAGATTTTTTTTCCAATAATTACTTCCAGCACTGTTAAAAAAAAACACACTGGAAATAATTATACAGCAAAAAAGTTGTCCCCTGAATAGCAAGGGTAGTTGTTTTTTGCGCGACCTCTAGACTAGCCAGGCTTGCTGCTGCTTACAGAAACGACACGCCGGTCTCCGTCGCAGCCGCCCAGTCTGCAGCGAGTCTCCACCCAGCGTCGCTCCAGCTCCCTTGTGAACTTGAGCAGTGGTAAGATCAGCACCTAGACCGCAAAACTAGGCTTCAAGTTTTTTTAGAACAATAATTAACCAAATCGTTAAATTTGGTGCTGGTGAGGTGCAGGTTGTGGTTGGTCACTCACGTTGTCCTGTACAAAAATCGTTTCAGCACTCGGCCGTGGTGGAGGAGCACATTTCACGTTTTCAACACAATTAATGTCTTTTTAAATTGTACATAAAATTTAATCAACCTTTCATCTCGCTCTAAAAAAAGTTGATTTTTATCACTATTAATTTATAAATTTAAAAAAATTAATCTCAGTAGAAATTTTTTATTATTTTATTAAGTTAAATAGAAAAATCTCATTTGATTTTTGCATAATTTTAAAACTTTTACATTAAAAAGAAAATATTTATATAAAATTCAGAACATTGAAATTGTTATTTGTAATATTCGATGCAAACTTTCTATTTTAAAATCAATTTTTGTAAAAATTCTGAATGGAGCTTAAAATTTGCACAGTAAAAATCAACTTTTTACAAGAGTCGGATGCGAAGGAAAAGCTTGTTATAATAATTGTTGTGGGTGATTGCTGTATTTTCCGCTCTCTCTAACTGTCTGGTGGTCGGTGTGTTTGCCAGGATCAAGCACTGATCAGGACAGCTTGGCTTACCCTCGCTTCGGCGACACTGACTCTGGCCTCGGCAGGGCCACTCCTCCTCGCCGGGCCCCGTCTCCGGGAATGGGCGTTCCGCGCCACCTTCCCTCCCCGTCAGGTCAGTTCTTCTCTCCCCTCACTTGCCGTCCTGCGCGCTTTTCTTTCCAAAAATTTTGGTTTTTCATTTAACACGTTGTTTTGTTGTCATTTTTATCAAGCACTCATGTACATATATTTTTTGGTATTATTTTCGCTTTGAAAATTCTGGAAGGTGAAACTTAATTAATCCGTTTTTGCTGTGCCGTTTTTTATTTGAAACCTTGTTTATTTATTTGCAGTGAATTTTATTTCTTGTTAAAATGGGAATTTCACAAATAATGAATTACAGGTCCAGGCTCCCTCCCTCCAGGTCTCATGTCCAAGAGAAGACCCTTCGATGACGCATCAAGTGACATTTCCAGTGCCAGCTCAATGATGGAATACACAGGTAAATAAATTGAAAGCTAACTCTAAAATTCATCAGGGGTTCCTTGTTGCAAATGAAAATGAAAACAAAAGGATAATCTGCGGGGTTCTTGTGTCCAACGAGGAATTTAAAAAAAAAAAATAATAATAAATAAAATTGAGATATTAAAAAAGTGGAATTTTTTACAAATTAAATTGAAGAGGAATTAAAAGAAGAAAACAAATTTTTTAAAATTATTGCAATGAGAAATTCCTGATCCAGATTTTGATTTATTTCTGAACAAAATTTAATTTGAACTTTAATTCAGGTCCCCGACTTTACCGCCAACCAGCAACCAAATCAAACCGAGGCATCATGCTGAACGCCGTCGAGTACTGTGTCTTCCCAGGAGTTGTGAACCGCGAGGCCAAGAGGCGCGTGCTCGAGGAGATCGCGCGTTCCGAGAGCAAGCACTTCCTCATCTTGTTCCGCGACGCCGGCTGCCAGTTCAGGGCCCTCTACTCGTACTGCCCGGACAGGGACGAGGTCCTCAAGCTGTACGGCACCGGTCCACGCCAAGTCACTGAAAACATGTTAGATAAATTCTTTAAGTGAGTGAACAAATAATTTCAAGTGCTGGAAATTAATTTTGCAATTCCAAACAGGTATAATAGTGGTGGCAAATGCTTCTCCGTAGTGCACACCAAACATCTGACTGTGACCATAGACGCCTTCACCATTCACAACTCACTGTGGCAGGGCAAGAAAGTGAGTCTCCCTAGTAAACGTGATATGGTTCTCGTTATTTAAAATTGTCGCTCCTCAAGAAGAAAAACTGCTGCTCCCGAGAGAATTGATTGAATTGATTACGAAAAACAGATTTTAAAACGAGTGAGTTACACTCTAAAATGAAATTCACACTACTTTGACGGGGCGGATTATTTTTATTTTTAACTTGCCAAAAACTGGAAACTCAACAAGAAATGAATAATATTAATAAATAGCATTTTTTTTCCGTGTGACGAGAGATGTCGCTTCTCAGCTGCTGTCGTGTCTTGCGAAGTATTATCCGACTCGCATCCAGTATTAATAAAATTAGTGTAATTCACGCTGATTGTCATGATCAATCGATTTATATCATTTGGTTGGCTGTAATGAGCACAAAATCAGCCTGCAAACTGTTCGGTTAGAGAAGAAATTTGATACGCGCATTGGAGATGTCATTCCTTATCTGTGAGAATTTGCCTAAATCTGATTCCAATTTTGTTACTGACGAATGAGTGCGGTGGAGTTTCTTTTTGTTTTGAAAAATCAAAGTAACACGCGAATCTAACTGTGTGAAAAGAGAGAGAACTATATTTCGCCGTAGAGCTAATTTAGCGTCATTTCGGGTGGAAGAAGAAGAAAAAACCACCACTAACTAAATAAATACACTTACTAAAGAAAGCAAGAAAGAACTGTTGTTGATATTGAATCTACTTTTGTAATTCCAGGCTCGGTTGTTTGTTTTTAATCAATTCACAATGAGAGTTTAGCCATATTATTTTTGTCACCTTCTCTGTTAATTTATTTAACCTCTCCTCCTGCTCCGTGTACTATTTTTAACTTTTATTTTTGCGATGGTGCAAATGAACTAGTTGGAAAAATCGTAGAAAAAATGCGAGATGCGAGCCTGCAATTATCAAACGGGACAAACGAGGTCCGCTGCTAATTATACTTCTACTACCAAATCGAAAAAGACAGTTTATTAAAAATGAGAAAGAAAGATGGTGCTTTGGGACATTGTAACTTTTGTGTACCTCTGGCGATTTATATTTTGATTTTTGTCATCCAGAGTTCTCATTAATATTCTACGATAATTATGTAATTAATTTCCGTCAAAACTGATGACGAAGAAAATGTTATTACTAAAAAAGATACCATCCTATTAAAAACAATAAAATATTAATACAGATGAAATGAAATTAACTTTGAATTTTATTTTATCGATAAAAATTATATATTCCTTTTTATTATTGTTGTATTTTTTCACAAATTGTTACATCACGTTGTTGGAAAAGAATGGAATTGTGGACAAAATGGAACCACCACTAGCAAGAATTCTGCTAAAACTTCCGAGATCAAAAAGAGCCTCGGTTGACTTGGTTTTTGTTCTTATCGTTTGTTTTTGTCCTTTCTTGAATCTCAACAAAAGGTGGCGTTACCTTGACAATAGACGGAACTTTCTTCTCTCAATTAAGTACCTTCAGAGGCTGCTCAGATGTCAAGAAAGGAGGGAGTTAATGTCATTAGAAGAAAGGAAAATTAATAAAAATCTTTTGCCTTTTCAAAACATTACGAGACCTTCGCTGGAAATTTCAAATCAAGGAAAATAGCTTTTATATATGTTAATTGAGTAATTAGGTGAATCAAAGTGCAAGTGACTTGACGAGGAAACAGCACTTTTCCTGCATCTCATTTGAAAATCATCATTACTCAACGATCGGAGAAGGAGGTAAAATTATCACTCGGCTGACTGCATTTGAAAATTAGGTAATAGCAAATTGAATAAGAAGCGATTTCACTCGCTCGAGCGTGAGATAAACAGCTCGGCAGAGAGCGGATGAAATTATATTTTTTGCTGGTCGTTATCAGCAGCTAGGGATGCGGCTTGGCATTTTGCATTTTAATGAGCGCCGTTCACTTTTGAGATGAGAATGCTCGTTAATTTCAGCGACGGGCGCACCGAAATGAGTGAGATTTTTCCATTTAAATGGCGCAGATTGAGTAAAACCGTAGAAATATAGAAATTGTCCACTTAATTTTTGCATTGCGGTTGAAAGCTTCAGTTTTGAAACGCAGGCACTTAACTTTTATTAGATTAAAACTAAATTACGGTCAAGGCTCGTAAAAAACATAGTTTTGAAATTGTATGTGTCACTTACACATCGTAGCGACAAGATTTTTAAAGATGACTGTAAAAAAGGAAAGTGCCTAATGTTTAAATGTCAGTGAATAATTTAGAAACCATAAAGTTTAATGTGTGAATGAAATAAATTATAGAAGCCATTCTGATCATATTTTGTTTAAAAATAAAGTTCAATCGAATGAAGATGGATTAATAATTGACTGAGTGTTCGTTAACAATTAAATAATTTTATTGCATCATGAAAATAAAAATTTATGAAATTTTAAAATAAATGGCAAAATCTCTTAATTAAAATAATACAAAAAATTAATCGATTTTTTTCCAAATCTAAACGGAAATTCGTGCATTTTAGTTAATATTTTTTTGGTTTCTCGTTTAAAATAATTCAATTAGTGAAATTTGAACAATTTATTAAATTTATTATATCAGTTAAATGAAGAAAACACATTTTTGTACAAAATATTTTCTTCATTGACATGCATCGCTGCCTCCAGAGGCGTCAATTTAAATTCATTCTATAAAAAAAAACTTGAAACGGAAAGTATATAATATTCTCATGGTCATGGAGGACTATTAACCAGTACCGTCCAGAACCTTCTGTCAACAATAGATCGCAAACAAATACCACCGCAAATAACTATTGAAATTTTTACTTTTGTTCAAAATATTTTTTCCATTGAATAAGTGGTTCATGAATCACTATAGTTATATTAAAAAGGTTGAACAAATTACTAATTGCGTTTTCCTTCTCGTTTTTTAAGAAAATTAAAAAAAAAGATTAATTGTTTTTCACTTTTGTTTGACTTTTTAGTCATTTTTAAACCTTTGAAATTGCATTTTTTTTTTACATGGGAAAACTTAATTATTGTAGAAACAATTGCGTGATTATTTAATAGAATTTTACGGCTTATTAAACAACTCTCGATTTTCCTCCCCAATTATAGCCGATTATATATATTTTATTTTTAAATTTGCACAACGCGTTACAAAATCAAGTTGGCGTGAAACAAAGAAATTCTCCAACACCTCCGGGGTCAAACCGCAAGTCATTGTTCTCCAGGCGGCGGCGGCGGCGGCGAACCGGTGTCACTTTATCCGTTGGCCTTTCCTTCTTTCGAAAATTGCGCAAAACCGGAGGGAAAAATGAAAAACGCATCAGGCGGACGAAATGTGTGGCATTTATGAGCAGAGAGAAGTAGCAAAAGTCACCGACCGAACTCGGCGCCGCGATCAGAGTTTGTATGCCAAACACGGAGAAAGTGATGTCAGCCGGCGACAAATCCTGATTAGGCCGATTTTGGCCGCGAGAGTCGTCTTGAGAAGACACACGTGCACGCGAAATTGCTCGGTGCCCTTTTCCGACGAGCGATTGTTAACAACAACGAGCCTCTCTTGTGGGGAAATATTTAATTTGCTCGAGAGACGACGTGCGCAGTTGCGAAATTCCGATTGAATAAAAATAAATGAAAGGCAAATCCAATTTTAGTGATGAAAATTATTGTTGAAATGGTGAAGTTCACAGCCCCCTGCTGATTATTTCGTTATGCAACCTGCAAGACGTGTACCAAGATTAATTTGGCTAAACTTATTGATTTCAATTTTTAACCTTTTGTTTTATTTCGCTCTCATATGATTCGAAACTGAAGTTATAAAATTTAATTAAAATTTTAAAGGATATAGTTTCTTTTAAAATTAGTGCTGTTTTTAACCAGACTTAAAATGCTGTTATCTTTTTCCAACAATTTTTTTTCAGCTATGTTGAAATTAATAGAATAAAAAATAAAGTTAAGGCTCTAGAATATTGAATAAAAAATGAATATAAGTTCATTAAAAAAAATTATGAATATGTTTCAACCAAAATTAAAGTTTGTAACTAAAAAAAGGTGCTCTGTTAACCCAAATTCCAAATTTTAAATCACGCGTTAACTTGAATTAATTTTTAATTACCATTTAAGATTTGCAATTTTTTTTTTTTCCATTCACAATGTTCACAATGTTTACATGTTTCTTATACATAATTTGTGTCCAGTGTCCATATTTATTGAAAGGTCATTTACCTCTTCGAAAGGAATTCTCATATTATTGATTTACAACCTTTTTCTTGAAACTGACGAATCTGAAATCTCAGAGGGCAAAGCAATTAATGACTCATTTGTAATTTCCCTTTTACAACAGCATGAGGTGTGCAGGTCGTGAAGGTTTTCCACGTCGTCGCCCCGCGAGCGATCAAAAGTGGCACAAATTATACCAATGGAAATCAATTTTGTCAAATACAGCTCGACTAACTAACTCCTCTGGTAAGTGGGTTATCAAGAGAGGTGAAATTATCGCCGAAATCCGAGCACGCTTTAAAAAAATGTATATATTAATAATCGTTTCGAGGAAAGTGAAGAAAAAGAGTGTGTTTGGTAGAAAATTGTCGGAGGATTTCACTTTCAGAAAAGGCAACGACAGAGAAAGACGAGTAAACCGCAATCGAGAGAGAGAAAGAAAAAGGAACGCAAACAAGCGGAGAGCAGCAATTTATGGAAGAAGTAGAAATCCACGTCGTTTGTCAAAACTTCTTGAGTGTAATTCATAAGGCACTCGCCTGTCACTAGAAAGAGGACGGTTGGCTTAACTAATTGAATACAAAAATTTGCACAAGTGAAATGAAAGGAAAAAATTGAATTCATTGACATATTTTTTTTTTAAATCGAGGAAAGCAATTTTTATGCTTAATCTGGGCGAATTTAGAATTTAATGCTAAATCTGGAAGAAAAAATGTCAATTTCACGTAATTTGACAGAAAAATTTCTTAAACTAACCAAGGCTCTTCATTTACGGAGGTCATTTTTGTTCGAACTCCTCGTTCTGAAACCAGAATTGATAAAAAACCGTTCCGAAATGTATTTTTAAAAAATATATTTGACCGCAAATGATCGCAACGTTTTTGATCGCGATCGCAATCGAACGATTTTTCAATTTCATGATCGCGATCGCAATCGCAAAAATTTGAGATCGCGTCCATCCTTGAAAAAAATCGGGGATTTCGGAAAATATTTTAACGAATGTGGTTGATTTGTGTTTGAATTGCCAATGATTGTTATTGAAATATCGGATTCTACTTCTAATTATTGACTAATACACCCATTATATTTATCCCTCCATCAAAATAGCACATGGGAATCTATTAAAGAACCTTCTGCGATTGAATGTAAACTAAGATTTCTACGTAGCAAAAATAAGGACATTTCCACACAAAATTGAGATTCTTAAATTAATTTTTATAATGTTACGGTTTGCAAAACTGCATGGAATCGTAAAAAATGTTTGGAAATATTTCAATCCAATGATCTAATTTTTCAATAATAATTGCTTCCTTAGTCTGAACCAAAAGTAGAATTTTTCTTTTCAAATCTAAGACGTCGTACAGTTAAGAAAAAAAAATAATATTAAAAAAATATCGTTCCTGAAAACGTGGCGGTGAAGTTTCAACACATTTCAAGTTTTTAGCCTTTTTGACTATTTTATTAAAACCTTTTAAAAATAGTTTTAAGTGGTCAATAAGGAATTTGTTAAGATGACCTGTATCAATTTTAACTGAATAAAAATAACAACTAAATAATTTTTACCAAAGCCAAACACCATGTAATGAAATTTTTTGAAATCATAGGATATAATTTGTACAATTAAACAACAAAATTCTCACTGTTCTTTTGCAACTTTTGTAATTTTTCGCAATTGAAAAAATTTCCCTTCCATACTTGTTGACGCTGGAATGCGTGAAAAGTGTCGCGGTTTTGTCACACGTACGTCGGGATTGCTTTGCTCAACACCAAGTTGTTGATGTGTCACGTCTCATTCATTCATTTGCTTCATATTTGTTTGTTTCGCAGCGAATTAATGTTATTTGTTGCCTACCCGGTCAGGGTACGCGAGCGACGTCGACCGGCGCGACCGGCCGGCAAAAAGCGGGGCAACCTACTTGCGGCAGTGACGCCAGTTTGTTGGTCGCGATTGTGGGCACATCTACATATTATCGAGAGTATGAAATCCGTACAAATGGCAATAAAT